GGACACCACAAGACACACACAATCGAAATAGTCAAATGTTGTAGCGGGCGAGGATCTCGTCCACAACTTCTGTAAAAACCAGTTACCAGAAGACCTCGGTTATCTCCACTCCAGTGTCGCAGGGGAAAGAACACAAGCAGCGAATGGAGAGGAAACTTTGCCTCACTCGCGATGATCGGTGAAAGGAATAGAAGCTCGGCAAACCTCGTTGCAAAGATGTCCACGCCGCAAACGCGATGACAAAATTACCGGCTGTGAGAAGTGGAAAAGACTCTTGGGACCCCTGTCACACCTCCTCGGAGGGAATGAAGCCACCCATGCATTGTTGCAAAGATTCAGTCTTTCCACTTCCCGACATTCGAAGGCAGCAAGGGGTGGACAATGCAGTCCACTAGTCCTCAGTTCAACTCTCATAAGCTCTTTCGCCCTGTGCAAGTTGGCCGCTGGTTCATGCACGCCGGCAATTGTCCGAATGCAGCAAAGAAGAGGTTGATTACATATGTGGCTTCACTGACAGCCATATCTGCTCATGAATAATGGTAAACATTACATTACTCCAATTATCCGTTACAAGAAAGGCCCTCCAGATTCTCTGGGTTCCAGAAGTCCTTCGGAAGCCAAGCGATTTTGTTCCCCAACAGGTCCAAGTGAAAGAGACCACTAGCCAGGTTATCAGCAGATTCGACTTCAGAGAGACTCCGGAGATGGGGTGACTGATGATATTTTGTTATTTCCCATGCGAAACAGAAGCAAATTAGTCAGTTACAATACACGAATGCCGTATTCCTTACATGCCGTTCCTATGGCATAGTGGAACAGTGAATATCAGCATCACCCATTCTAAGTCGCCCGCATCGTCCACTTGACGAGTTTCACAGTTGATATCTATGGTAAAATTATAGGAACACGCCTTCCCCCACTGCGCGGCAATGCCGTTTAGCTTGATGATCCAGTCAAACAAAGGAGGCGAAAATTCTACACCCAATGTCTTGGTCAGAAAGTGAACTTGAGCTTTCAAACATAATTGCTATTTTGAAAATAGGTCCTTTTTGCCAATTTTATCCTTTTGAATTGCAGTAGCGAGCTTGCAATATATTTGTAATTATTTTAAGGTGATTAAATACCCCTCCTTATAGTCCTGTACTTTGCTTAGTCTAAGGTATTTTTGTTGTTGACAAAGCATTTTTGTCTGAATAAATTAGTTTTAGGTGCGAATAGTAAAGCGGGGTGAGATAATGTCTCCTACAGCTAACTCCCACATCTGATGTTGCAATTAAATTGGTATGCAGCATTTTACATGTTACTATAGAAAATTCTTGTCAAATTTCTAAATACATATATATGTTGTTTTTGCGATAGACATATTTTTCTGCAAGTTCACTTGATGCTTGCAAATGCAGTTTTGCGCATATTTTCCCCAAATTCAATGGGTAGGCAGCAACTATCCTCGCTGTTTTATTTATTACTGGTTTTTGATAGTTTCGTAGCGGAAAACGGCATATGATTTGGCTACTTGGACAAGCGTT